CCCCAGCTGTAGTGTGGCTTACTTCCGATAGAGCGGTGCAGTGCTCCGCTGACATGAGCCGTATGTTCCCGGAAAGTGTAGTGCCACTTATTTCAATGCACCGTTAGACTATGAAAAGGCAATAGGTCAGCAGTGAGTTGAATCGGCCGACGCAAAGGATGAGGGTGATTAATGCTAGCGTTTACTGCTTGCCTATCTGGAAACAGAACAATTAGCTAGAGGCGTTCCTACAACTGGTAGTTGGTTTTTCGTTACGTTGTGAATAAATCGTTATTCTACTCTGATTGACCACATCTTTCGGCTGACGGAAAAGCCAATAATCACAATGAGCTCGACCGATATTTGCAGTGGGAAGACCATGAATCTACGGTATATTATGGTCCCCAGTCAAGTGAGTAGGGATGACAGACAGCCTGGTCACTTGTGGTAACATTCAGAACCGAAGTTGGTGGTTGAAAATTTTAAATTCTCCTGTAGTGAAAATGATGAAGCATTTCTGGCTTCAAAGGAGGAAAATTATAACTCTGATTCGTATGACAAAGGGACCGTTTATTCCTCCTTGTTCAGTAATTGTACGCAATAAGGTCAACAAATCTGGTGTGTTGAGATACTACACTAATGAAGTATTTCTACGGATATTTGATTTCCATAACAGGGTCAGCTCAATTACTGATGGCAACGTTACCGTGAGTGGATTCTGTGAAAGAACCAGTCGATCTGACGAACAGTTAATGTCATAACCACAAACATAAGCTCCTTATGTGACTTGCCCTTGGGCTGATCAAGAAGCTGGAACGCAACAGCATTTCTATGTAGGGGACAGCATGTCACACCAGGATGCCGTCCTCCCTATTCAACTTCGTAATCAATATACTACTTGAGTACTTCCTGTCTGACTCTAGTACCTCGGGGAGGAAAATACTCCGGGAACCTCACCCATTGAGTACCCACATTGAGTAATCTGACGGTAGAACTTTTCTTGAATCAGACCCTAATGAAATGCAAACCATTTTGGATGACCCCGATAATTCTCCACACGGTTTCGCTTCACACTCGCAAATATAAGACTTGGTGGAATTAAAAGAAGGCAGATGATCTAACTGATGTGGTGAGCAAATTTATCTATCTAAACGGCTGAATAAGTTTCGATAGACTGGAGAAATTACTTTCCGAATCCAGGGAACCTGGGGGACATTTGCCAGCCTCCAGCATTTGTGACACCGGATTGATATTGGTTTAGCTATCAGTGATAGAGTTTGCACTGCTGCAGTCCGTCCTACCCTTTTTTGTGCATCAGGGACATGGCCGCTTCGTGCAGATCTTTGAAGATACTCCGTATCTGACCACCGGCGCCTCCAAATATCAAATTAGTAGTACTGAAGTACGGTAGCTAGTTTTTGGGAAAGCTAAATTGCCCTCGGTCGGCCGACCGATTACACTCGATATTTTCCTTTTGTACGGTTACGTATTTCGAGTGACACTTGTCTTGGCGCCCAATTCGCCCAGCCTTATCGGATGGAGACGACCTAGTACCAGCCTAGCATATCCCACCACTAGTCAGTTGTACCGGTAACTGACGTATGGGGATCTCGAGACATGACATTGGTCACCGACCGTGACATATGGCTCTGTTACACGACCAAGGGCTGCCCTTCACCAAAGGTACTGCCTTCAATGTTTAGCTCTGTCAGTATCCCTCATACCCGACAAAGAACAATTTAATGTTAGTGAATGGAATGCGTCGTCACTTCCATCCCCTTATTTTCCTCATCCTGGGTGAAGGAAACAGTAGCTATGGGATAAGTGTAATTCTGTACACGGTTCATAACTGAATAAGCGAAATGAGCTATCCAATTTCCACCACGCCTTCTTGCGACATGAGGATGAGAAATTTTGTGCACCACACTTACCTGCAAGGACAGCTCTTCAGAAGAAAAGTAAAAGAGAGGAAATGACGTATATTGTCCTGGAATACGGTCTCCTATTGATAAGATATTAGTAGGTTTTTGGGTCGGCACAAGTGGTCCAAATAGTTTAGAAACTAGGAAATCCAAAATTCCGAAGATTTGCGATATTTATCCCGGTCACATAAACAAAGATAGATGCAACGCTACTCAAGCTTCCTTTCGGATTTGCAGACTTTACCGCAAAACTTGATGCACTCAGAGCTTCTAGAAGGACGATCGCCGAGTTCTCTCGGATTTTGACCACTTTGTAATCTGAGGGAATACACATCTGGTTGCTTGAGTCAGTGAAGTCCTTGGTAGTAGAAGCTGGATTACGGCCAAACGGACAATCCCAATATTTGGAACGTATCTGAGGACAGGTTCATTGACGTGCCCTAATTCTCTCTGCACAGAATTAATCGTTGTTGTAGGCGATATAGTGGATACAGCATCACGTAGCCAGCGTTCTGGATGTATTTTGAGCAATTCCAGGGACATCTTACTGCTCCCTAGTAGAATACGTAGCTGTGCAGCGTTGAGCAGCGTGTTCGTCATTGGTTTTTAGTCATCCGGTAGTTAGGGGAACATAAATAATTCAGCCTATGCAACCTCAGCCTGAGGTCACGTTCTGTTGCAGTGCATACCAAACCGGATTACAGGCTGTTTTTCAACGTCCATGACGAACTGAATCTCTTTTCCCACCGCATCAGATTTATCGGTTTGTGTGGCTCTGTAGCGCAAGACACAGGCTAATAGATGTTTGGTTTCTCACGGCCTAGCAACGGTTTTACATGAAAATATTTTCTTGCTCTAATGTGCTCCATTCAAACCTCAGTTACACGCAAAAATTCAAGAAGAGCACTGTCTTGTGTTTCTGTTTGCTTGGGAAAATAGATGATCCTACTAGATGAGACATTCGGTTTATCGCAAGGCTAGACGCAAAATTTTCTCAGTCTTCATCCAATAAAACAAAAAAAATGCTTCGTTTTCCTTATTTTTATTCTTCACAACAGGTTCGCTGTACATTAGACTACAGTTCCTCATGAACAGTGCATAATAAGTTATCAAATGGAACGGTTTATACTATACCCCAGAAGAACACGTCCTCAAATCGCCATAGAAATGAATCCCTACAGTTGCATCACAAAGAGGACACTTCCATTAGATGAGTAACAGCAGAGTTTAGAAGAACCTGCAACACCGTCCCACCTGTGACTACAGTGAGAGAACCGAAAGGAGATTCGGAGCACCCATTAGTCGAAATTACTCTTGATATGTCCTGCATAAACCCACGATAATACTAACTTTGGCTGAAATCACGGATGTTTAACGATCAAACACTTACTCTATTCTAGCCACAAGATGAGCTTTTCCCCGCTTTTAAAGTGATTGCGACATATCAGCTACCTCATTTCCTCAATTAATACAAGTGATAGACCAAGTCTATACACTCAAAATGGCCTGTTATTGAGTTTTGCCTACCGTGGTTTGTGTGACCAAGGGAGACATCGCATATTCCTTGTTATGTTAGAATTTTCAGGTTTCATTATCGGCTTATGCCTTCATTTATTCACTAACTTCGCGACGTGCATTGCGGCTGAGTGCGCCATCCACAGTCACAAGCTCTCCACCTGTGTTGTTTAGTTAAAAAGTTGTTTGGTTAGAAGTTTCACAGACGTATTGCGCAGTTAGCACTCAACTAAGAGAGCTTCAACAGCTTGTGATAAAACAGCATCCAAGTAAGATACTGCCAGTAAAAGATCCACGTAATTCACGTGAAAATTAGTCCGTTCCAAAGCTTACTCGTTGTTTGCTGAATTCATCAGCTCTTGATGGAATAAAATGTCGCGAATAGACGAATTTAGCATAAACATTGAGATCTTATGATCACAAAAGCTGGTGTTCTCCAGTATATAGTCCTCATCTTTGGACCCATCAGTGACGGACCACTGCGAATGGGAGGTAAGTTCGGTCACATCAGAAAAGCGGTAAGTCCCCGGAGAGATGAATAGGTAGTTTGTTCGTTGTGTTGACAAGCGCAATCTTAAGGACTCGTTAGAGTGAGGCTATATGAACTGCTGTTATACAGAGGAATCATTATTTCGCGCCTATGGAATCCCACACCAAACTGAAGCCGAAATGTTGAATAGGATCTAAGATGAAATTGCAGGGCAAGGAAAGTACAAATCATGTCATCTAACCCTTATCTAATCTTATTGAAAGAATGGGAACATCCGTGGCACCGTGGTCACGAATTAGGGAAAGTGCGAGTACGTCTATTTATGGCAAACCGAAGGGAGGTAAGAGTGGTCTAATAATGAGAAACTGCTGGCAAATCGTCGAAGTGAGTTAATAACAACAAGGCTTCCTTTGACTCACATACACGAAATCACATTCTCCTTGTTGGATTAACGGAATATCAGATACGCCAGAACTAATTAGAACAGCGGATACGCACTTTGCTTTTCCGTGATTTCCTCATTTTATTGGGTGCAAAAAATTGGATTTTCTAGACTTTTCCCCGCTGCACCAAAAGACATCGTAGTGCGGATGAAATTGTAGGTGAAACAAACAGGTCACTCTAAGTGTGTTTTGATGTAATATGTTTGACATACGGTTTTCTATAGCTGGAAAACAATGGCGTGTCTTGACCCGCTCTGCTCTATGGGTCATGGAAACTTGAGTGGATTGGCAGGCT